TATGTGGGCCACCACTTGTGTGAGGGGTGCGCCAACATGGATGCGGCGCCGCCATGCTGACCCTGCCGCTGGGACTTTCGGTGGAGCTCCCCCATGAGGCCGCGAAATGTGTGAGGAGTGTCCCGAAATGGGTGCAGCACCGCCAGACGGACCCTGCCGCTGGGGCCTTCGGTGGAACTCCCTATAGCGGACCCTGCCGCTAGGACATTCGGTGGAGCCCCCTGTGGGACCACGAAGCGTGTGAGGGGAGCGCCGAAATGAGCGCTGCGCCGCCATGCGGACCCTGCTGCTAAGACGTCCGATGGAGGTCGTTACGGGGGCCTCGAAACGTGTGAGGTGGGGAGCGCCGAAATGAGCGCGGCGCTGCCATGCGGATGAGATGTTCGGTGGAGCTCCCCCATGCAGTCACGAAACGCGTGAGAGGTGTGCCGAAGTGGACGCGGCGCCGACATGCGGACCTTGCCACTGGGGCTTTGGGTGGAGCTCCCTATGCAACCCCGAACCGCACGATTGGTGTGGTGACATGGACGGACAAGCGGAGAACAGAGGCAGAGATGCAGGAGGGAAGAGGGGAGGAAGAATTAGCCTGGCGAAGGACCCAACCATATGCAACTGTGCGAACCGCAATTTTGAATACCGTATTCAGTGGAGCTCCCTGTGGGGCCGCGAAACGTTTGAGAGGTGTGCGGGAATCTGCGGGGCAGACGCATGCGGGCGGTGGCTGAGGCATTCGGTGGAGCTCCGTATGGGGCCACGATACGTGTGAACGGTGTGCCGAAATTGGTGTGGCGGACGCATGCGGTCGGCGGCACTGTGGCATTCGGTGGAGCTCGCTATGGAGCCGCGAAACGTGTGGGGCGTGCGCCGACATGGCAGTGGCGGACGCATGCGGGCGGTGGGGGCTTCGGTGGAGCTTCGTATGGGGCCACGAAACGTGTGAGGGGTGTGCCGAAATGGGTGTGCGTGACGCATGCGGGCTGCGCCACTGGGACCTTCGGTGAACTCGTGAGGGGAGTCTCCCTATGGGGACACGAAACGTGTGACCAGTGTGCCGAAATGGGTGTGCGTGACGCATGCGGGCGGTTGCGCCACTGGGACCTTCGGCGGAGCTCCCTATGGGGCCACAAAGCGTGTGAGGGGTGTGCCGAAATGGGTGCGCGTGACTCCTGCGGGCTGCGCCACTGGGACCTTCGGTGAAGCTCTCTATGAGGCCACGAAACGTGTGAGGGGTGTGCCGAAGTGGGTGTGCGTGACGCATGCGGGCTGCGCCACTGGGACTTTCGGTGGAGCTCCCTATGGGGCCACGAAACGTGTGAGGGGTGTGCCGAATTGGGTGCGCGTGACGCATGCGGGCTGCGCCACTGGGACCTTCGGTGGAGCTCCATATGGGGACACGAAGCGTGTGAGGGGCGTGCCGAAATCGGTGTGCGTGACGCATGCGGGCTGCGCCACTGGGACCTTCGGTGGAGCTCCCCATGGGGCCACGAAACGTGTGATGGGTGTGCCGAAGTGGGTGTGCGTGACGCACGCGGGTGGTGGCACTGGGAAATCGGTGGAGCTCCCGATGGGCCACGAAACGTGTGAGGGGTGTTCCGAAATGGGTGCGCGTGACTCCTGCGGGCTGCGCCACTGACACCTTCGGTGGAGCTCTCTATGAGGCCACGAAACGTGTGAGGGGTGTACCGAAGTGGGTGTGCGTGACGCATGCGGGCTGCGCCACTGGGACCTTCGGTGGAGCTCCCTATGGGGCCACGAAACGTGTGAGGGGTGTGCCGAAGTGGGTGTGCGTGACGCATGCGGGCTGCGCCACTGGGACTTTCGGTGGAGCTCCCCATGGGGCCACGAAACGTGTGAGGGGTGTGCCGAAGTGGGTGTGCGTGACGCACGCGGGCGGTGGCACTGGGGCCTTCTGTGGAGCTCCCGATGGGGCCACGAAACGCTGTACCGGGTGGGTGAAACGCAAGGAGGAAGGAGGAGGGGAAGGAGGGGGAGGAGGAGGGAGGAGGGGGAGGAGGGAGGAGGCAGGAGACGTGGGGACCGTCCCTTCCAAACGAGGACCCAGCACCACAGGATGGCTGGGAAAGAAATGAGACGCGGGGGGAGCTGCGGATCCAAGGCGAGGACAGCGCAGCGCAGGATGGCCGGGAAAGAGACCACGTCTCTGTCCCGTGGTCGGCACGGGGCCCTCCCCTGGCGCGCGCCGCGGGCAGGGAGGTGCGCCTCCGAGGCGTCGCCGTGGGGTCCGACGCCGAAGAGAAAAGTCCGCACGGGCCTACGACAGCTCATGCTTTGCCGTGCTATGTTCGTCGATGCTCGGAAGGAGGAGGAGGAGGAAGAGGCGGAGGAGGAGAAGGAGAAGGAGGAAAGGGACGAGGAGTAGGGAGAGGAGGAGGAGGAAAAGGTGGACGGTGATGAGGAGGAGTCGAGGAAGAGGAGGAGGAGGAGGAGGAGGAGGAGGGCGAGGAGGGGGAGGAGGAGGAGAAGGAGGGAGCTCGGTCGCCTTGATGTACCCTGGCAGCAGGTAGCCCAGCGTCTTCCCGCTGCCGGTCTTGGCCACGCCGATGACGTCCTGCGCGCGGGTCGCTGGGTGGGCGCCGCTGGTGCGTCTGCCAAAGCTGCGACAGGGTGGACGTTTCCCTAAACTTCTGGCTGAATTCGCCTAGCGTTGCCCCGTTCCGCCAGCGCCGTCACTCTGCGTAGTCGCCGACGTAAACAATAAAATGTGTCCCTAAACCACTTGTCTATACGGATCCTAAATACAGATGGAAGTGTAGATATTCAAATATGGGTTATATAACATATATAAGTTTACTCGAAACAATCGACTACGGGGAACCGTGATCGGGGATCGCTCGGGCACGATTATCTCCCATTGTCTCCCGCTGTTTGCCTACGCCTATCCCTACATCCCCATCCCCATCCCCATCCCTTACGATACCCCAACAGTATCCCTTGTGATCACCTTCTCTCCTTACATCCCTGCTTCGAACGTTGCGGTTGCACGAGGTCGCGCGGTCGTGACCAGCGGCACGCATCACGCACGAAAGGCACCCTGCCTCCAAGGAGCATGCGCGGCCAACCCGATGCGTCCCCCCCACCATCCTTGTCAAAGAACCATGCAACATACAGTTTCGGGCGAAATCTTGAAACATGTTAATGAGGCCCGCGAGTACTTTGTATTGTTTTTGACAGGGACGGCGGGGGTGCCAGCATATTCCCTGCTGTGCGCAGGGCTACCGTCCCTGACAAATTATCGTGGCGAGGAACCCAACCATATGCTGGGAGCTCCCGATGGGGCCACGAACTGCTGCACTGGGTGGGGGGGACACACGCGGACAGTAACACTTGGGCCGTTGGTGGAGCTCCCTACGGGGCCACGAAACGCTGTACTGGGCGGGGGGGACGCACGCAGACGGTAAAAATGGGGCCGTCGGTGGAGCCACCTACGAGGCCACGAAACGCTGTACTGGGTGGGGGGAAGCATGCGTGCGGTAGCGCTGGGACCTTCGGTGGAGTTCCCGATGGGGCCACGAACATGTACGGGGCGGGGGGGACGCATGCGGGCGGTAGCGCTGGGACCTTCGGTGGAGTTCCCTACGGGGCCACGAATCGCTGTACTGGGCGGGGGGGACGCATGCAGGCGGTAAAATTGGGGCCGTCGGTGGGGTTCCCCATGGGACCACGAAGCGCTGTACTGGGTGGGGGGGGACGCATGCGGGCGGTAGCACTGGGCCTTTCGGTGGAGCTTCCTACGAGGCTACGGAACGCTGTGCTTGGTGTGGGGTAGACCCATGCGGGCGGTAGCACTCACTGGCGCCTTCGGTGGAGCTCCCTATGGGGCCATGAATCGTTGTAATTGGTGGGGGGGACGCATGCGGGCGGTAGCGCTGTGATCTTCGGTGGAGTTCCCTACGGGGTAATGGGTTGGGGGGACGCATGCGCGCGGTAGCGCTAAGACCTTCGGTGGAACTCCCTACGGGGCCACGAAGCGGTGTACTGGGTTTGGGGGGACGCATGCGGGCGGCACCACTTGGGCCGTCGGTGGAGCTCCCTGTGTGGACACGAAACGTTGTACAGGGCGGGGGGGGGGGCGCATGCGGGCGGTAGCGCTGTGACCTTCGGTGAAGCTCCCTACGGGGTACTGGGTTGGGGGGACGCATGCGGGCGGTAGCGCTGGGACCTTCGGTGAAGCTCCCTACGGGGCCGCGAAACGCTGCACTGGGTTTGGGGGGAAGCATGCGGGCGGTAGCACTTGGGCCGTCGGCGGAGCTCCCTATGGGGACACGAAACGTTGTACGGGGTTGGGGGGACGCACGCGGGCGGTAGAGCTAGGACCTCCAGCGGAGCTCCCTATGAGGCCACGAAACGCTGTACTGGGCGGGTGGGGCGCATGCGGGCAGTAGCACTGCGGTTTTCGGTGGAGCCTCCGACGGGGCCACGAAACGCTGTACCGGGTGGGGGGGACGCACGCGGGCGGTAGCACTGGGCCGTCGGTGGAGCTTTCTATGGGGCCACGAAACGCTGTATTGTGTTTGGGTGAACGCATGCGGGCGGTAGCACTGGGACCTTCGGTGGAGTTCCCTACAGGGCCACGAGACGCTGTACTGGGCGGGTGGGACGCATGCGGGCGGTGGAACTGGAGCTCCCTACGGGGGCCACGAAACATGTGAAGGGGTGCGCTGAAACGGGCGAAGACGATGATGGCGATGATGGCGATGATGATAATGATGATGGTGGTGATTTTTCCCCAACGTCAGGACCAACATCTGATATCAGGATATGGTGCACAATGAAACCATAATAAAAATTATCCGTCGCAGAGAGCCGACTGCCTCGCGCTGCCCCGCTTGGGCCAGACTGCCAGGGTGCTGCTCGGAGGGGCCTCCTGCGCAGCGCGTGCCAAGCAGCGTCGAAATGCTGGCTGAGATATTCGGCCGCTTCTTCTTCGGCGGTTGCATCATGCTCAGGTGGGCCCCCCCTCACATTGCCCCTCTTGATGCGCTGGCACGGCAGGGGGGGAGTGGAGGCACGACGGAGGAGGGAGGGCACGTGGCCGGCCGTGACCGCGCCGCTGCTGGCAGGGAGGTCTTTGCCTCGAACGAAATTGACGCGGCGTTGAAACGCCCCCTCTCCGCCGCGGCCTGCATTGTGGTCTGCAGGCTCGCTCTGGCAGAAAAAGACGGGTTCACTGCTCGAGCGTCTCTAGCCTCCTCCTCGAGCCAGCCCACTGGGCCCACGTCTCGGCGGTGGACCGCCTGGCCCTCGGCCTCGAGGGCGCGGCTGATCAGGATTTGGCCCTCCCACATGGGCGCGCCTAGCGCGCCGATCACCAGCGTCGTCTTGTCGTGGTCGTAGCACTTTTCAAGGCGCGCGAAGTTGATGGCGTCGAGGGCATCTTCCTTGCTGATCTCCGTCTCCGCCTCGATGTCCTCGATGGCACCCTTCATGGAGCCGCCAACGTCGCACTTGCACAGTCCCTCTAGGGCCGTCAGCGCGCGGGGCGGAGCTGGCGACCCTATCCCCTGCAGGCATTTCTTGTCCTCTGGGGGGCCGCTCTTCCTGAGCTTCGTGCTCGTAGCTTTCGTGCTCCTGCGTGATGGCATCTACCTGCTTGCCATGCTCGTCGTAAATGTCTAACTGCATGATCTTGATGTTCCGTTCGGCCTTATTCGTAGCCCCGTGAATGCCCAGTGAGGCCAGGGTGTCCTGCTTACCGATGTTCTGTGCGTGTTGAGTTCCATTATGCATGAGTCCGATCCTCAGATTCAATCGCCATAAAATGGTCGAAACAGTGAGATAAACGTACGCATGCATGAATGTCCTGAATCACATTGCCAGTGGGGCTTGTTCCCTTTTTTGCCGATGTCGAAAGTCTGGATGATGGTGGAGCTGACGTCGCGATCGATCTCGAGCTTCCGTCGACTGGGGTGATAGACTCGCTCAGCGAGCGGGTCCGCGCATTGATAGTCTGCAGTGTCATGTCCCATTCCTGCCCCTTGAACACCAGTGCGCATCAGGTGCTGTAGGGCGAGGAGCATTATGGTGAGTTCGATGGGCCTTGAAGAGAAGTGGGTGGGTCGTCGGACTGGAAATTGATGATCAGGGCGCTCGTCACCAGGGTCACGTTCATGTCGACCTTTAAGTCCAGGTGGCAATTCAAGTCCAGCGTGCAGTTGTTCCACTGGTGGCGGTTCAGGTGCAGCGCGGTGTAGTCCTGCACGTACTGGCCCTCTGTGTTCGTGAAGATGTTGAAATTGAATGAAGTTCATCGTCCAGTCGTCCAGGGTCAGCGTGTCGTACTCCTGCATGTGCTGGCCCTCTACGTCCGTGAAACAATTGGAATTGACGCTTAGCGTCCAGTAGTCCTTCGCGAGCTGGGTGTGTAGGTAGTGGTCCAGCGTCCAGTAGTTCGGGGTCAGCGTGTCGTAATCCTTCATGTGCTGGCCCTCTGTGTGAATGGAGATGCAGCTCAGCGCCCAGTCCCGCACGTACTGGCCCTCTGTGTTCGTGAAGATGTTGAAATTGACGTTCAGCGTCCAGTCGTTCTGGGTCCGCGTGTCGTAATCCTGCATGCGCTGGCCCTGTATGTTCGTGATGATGTTGGGATTGATGCTCAGCGTCCAGTAGTCATTCGCAGTGTGGGTGTGGGGGTAGTAGTCCAAGTGGGCAGTCACGTTCAGCGTGCAATTGTTCCACTGGTGGCAACTAATGGGCTGCATGGTGTGGTCCTGCCTGTGCTGGCCCTCTGTATTCGTGAGGATGTTGTTGTTGAAGCTCAGCGTCCAGTAGTTCAGGGTCAGCGTGTCGTAATACTTCAGCATCGGCATCGTCGTCTGGCTGGTGGTCAGGTGCTTGGGCCCTGCGCTCGTCCATGTTCCTGATGTCAGCGAGCGAGTCCTGTGCTTAGCAGGTGCGCGGCGCCCGCGCTCCGGAGCACGTCCATGGCGGCATGGCGGTGTGCGGGGCATCGTCAAGAGGCCCCCTGCCTTTCGGGCAGGGCGAGGGGGCGGTGATTGTAGGCCGCTGCTCCATCAATGGCCTGAGCGCGCGGCGGCCTTTGATGGTGGTGATGATGATGAGGAAGATGATGATGGTGATGGTGATGGTGATGATGATGATGATGATGATCGTGAGAGGAGGGGGAGGGGGCAGCGGGAAGAGTGAACGCGGGGCGCAGTCTTTTCAGAACGAGGACCCAACACCACAGGATGGTTGGGAACAATACAAAGTGCACCTCGCGGCTTAATCTGGATCACGCGCGGCCATCCGCCAAATGGTTGTTGACAGGGACGGCGGGGATGGTGTCGCGTGGTTTGCTGTGTGCAGGCCCACCAGACACAAGGATGGGCATTGGCTTTCGACAAAGATGGCGGGGCCGACATGTTTCCCGATGCGCGCTGCCACATGCGCAGGCCCACCTGACGCACTCTGCACGTGCCCCGAACGTGGCCCACCTGGCGCGGCTGGAGTGTGCGGCACACCTGGCGCACTCGGAGCACGTGGCGCACCTGGCGCACCAGGCGTGCCTGGCACGCTCGGGCCCCGGGGGTGCCTGGCGCGCGTGGGGCGCGTGGCACGCGTAGCGCACGTCGCCCATGCGCCATGCGTCGCGCACCCAGGGTCGGCTTTGGTTCCCAGTAGCTGCCCATCAAAAGACGGCCGCTGAACATGCTCAGGCTCGGGTGTTACTTCTGTGTTGGGAGGGCGGGTGAAAGGGGTGCTAGACGGCTTGCGGGCGGGTGGGTAGCTCCCCCCTACCCCCTCCCCTGGACCTGGATGGGGCGCCGCGCGAAGTGTCAGAGAGCACGTGTTCGCCCAGGATGGCCCCAAGAGGGCCTCAGAGAGCCCAAGATGACCTTCAAGATGGCTCAAGATAGCCCAAGATGCCTCAAGTCGGCCCCCAAGATGCTCCCAAAGACCCCAAGAACGTTCCAAGACGGCTCCAAGACGCCTCCGAAACCTCCAAGGAAGCCTCGGGGGAAAAAAGGAAACAACAAAAAACGTCCAAAACTAAAGGGGAATCGATGTGTTGTGCTTTTTCGCCCTTTCGCTTCCGATGGCCGTCCGAGGCGTCAAGATAGCTCCAAAAGGCCCCAAAGAGGGGCGCAAGAGAGCCCCCAGAGCGCCCCAGGAGCGCCCCAAGAGGGGCCCAAGAGGCGATTTCAGGCACTCTAGAACGGCGAGGCTAATTGGAGTTCCCATCTGTCTGTATCGATCTCCTCCAGGATGGTCCAAAGAGCACTCCCAAGGCACCAAAAAGCGCCCCGATAGGGCCCCAAGAGGCGCCCGGGAGGCGCCAAGAGGCGAAAGATGGGGCCTCCAACATGGTCCCAAGAGACCGCCAAGACGCCTCAAGAGGGCGCCCGAAGCACCCAAGACGCACAAAGAGGCCCCCTGGGCGCCCCTCGCCTGGGCATCGTCTCTGGATGGGCTGGTGGGGTTACTTTCCCCATCGCGGCCGCAAGCGGAAGCGCAGGCGGCGTCCGAAGTCAGCCCGGGCAACGAGCCAAACCTGCTTCCCTAAGCGCGCGAACTAACGGCCGCTGGGGCTGCCGCCAAGGGACGCCGAGCAACGCCGGGGACTGAAGGCAGAGCTGCAAGAGGTGCCAGGTGTGCCAGGCGACTGAAGTGCAACCATCCAAGGGGCGAGACCACCGGGAAGGCAAACGAATTGCACCTTGTCGCGCCAGGCGCCAGAGGTAAAAGAGCCACCCGAGCAGGGCACGGCGTAGCGCGGGGCTGAGCAAGCAGCCCAGCGTACCTGTGTCGCATGCCAACAGAGGCAACCTCAAGTGGTTGGACAAGAAGGCTAAACCACTCATGGGCACACCACGTAGAGGTGCATCCCACAATGGCAAGGCAGCAGCTGCAAACACGGCCAGGCTGTGGCAGTGTCTGGGGACCCTGGTGGGGTTACGCGAAGCCCCTAGGATTTGCGAAGCGCCTCGAATTTACACGGCGCCGCCGGGGTCAGGGATGAAGAGGATGACAAGGAAGGGAGAGGGGCAGGCAAGAGAAGGGAGAGGATAAGTAAAGCGGAGGAAAGAGGACAAGGAGCAGAAAGAGACCAGGAGGGGGAGAGGGAGGGGGGTAGGGATAGTGGGAAAGGGAAGGGAGAACGAAGCAGGCACGAGGACCAGTAAGGACGAGGGGAAGAGGAAGCAGCAAAATGATGAGGAAGGCGGAGGTGAAGAAGGAGGGCCAAGGGAGAAGAAAAGAGAGGGGAGGGAGAAGGGAGCAGGGGGCAGGAGGAAGGAGCCACCAGCGAGACCCGGGCAGCGAGGAGCCGGAACGGGGAGCCAGCGGCTAGGACGTAGCGAGGAGGGCGCGGAAGGAGGGAGGAGCGACGAAGAAGGAGTGAGGAGCGAGAGGGGGAGGGGAAGACACGGGGAAAAAAGGAGGAGGAGGAGGAGCGAGGAGCGAGGACGAGGGCAAGGGAGGGAGAGCCGCCGCCGCGCTCCCTGCCATCCACCAGGACCGGCCAGGTGTACGCCTGGATGGGCGTCGGGTACTTGAAGCCTGGCACACGGCGCGTGGCCCGGCCGGGCTGGAGGGCAGCGCGGGAAAGGGGAGGTGGAGGAATGGGGGGACAGGAGAGAAGACGAGAGGAAAGGAGAGACTACGCATGTGTCGCTGTGTATAGACTGGTTTGATGTGGGGTCCGCCACAGTGCCTCAGAACGTAGTGGAGTGTCGCAGGGACCAGAGGGCTCTCCGTTATCGGCATCCTTTCCTCCTCATTCCGTCTTCCTTGCTCCTCTTGCCTCCCTTGCCCTTCATCCCTCCCCCTCCTCCATGTTCCGTCCTCCTCCCTCCTCCACCCCAGCCCTCACCCACCCACGCCACCCCACAAAGCAAAACATCCCCCCACTCATCCTCTTCCCATTCATCCCTCCTTGCAGCTCCCGATTGCCCCCCCTACTGCTGTTTGTTACGCCTCCCACTCCTGCCACTGCTCCTGCCCGCGCTCCAGACCGCACTCGAGGGCCTGGGCATCGCTCGGACGTCCATTCCCTGTGCTTTTTTCGGTTTCGTGCGTGGTTTTTTCGCGAAATGATCAAGGATGTTCCTCGATGGCCCTCGCCGAAGGAAAAATGCACACGTCCGAGCGATGCCAAGCGAGGGCAAGGAGACGCGCAGGCGGCACTCGGAGCCTGCGTTGGCCAGGAACTGCATCAGCCCCTGAGGGAACTTCCACTGCCTGCCAGGCAGCCGGACGCGGGAGCCGCGCGCCAGGCACGAGGGTTCCTCCTCCTCGTCAACCTGCGTCATAGCATACCTCCTCCTCTTCCTGCTCCTCCTGCTCCTCCTCCTCCTCCTCCTCCTCCTCCTCCTCCTCCTCCTCCTCCTCCTCATGATCATGATCATCATCATCATCATCATCATCATCATCAGCAGCATCATCATCATCCTCATCAGCAGCAGCAGCAGCATCGTTATAATCATCATCAGCATCATCATCAGCATCATAATCGTAATCAGCAGCATCAGCATCATCATCAGCATCAGCATCATCATCACCACCATCATCAGCATCATCACAATCATCAGCATCATCAGCATAATCAGCATCCAATTCATCAGCATCATCAGCATCATATGCATCACCACCATCATCATCGTCATCAGCATCATGATCATCATCACCGTCGCCATCGTCATCGTCATCATCATCATCAGCAGCAGCACCATCATCGTCATCGATATCTCCATCGTCAGCATCGACATCCTCATCATCATCATCATCATCATCAGAATCAGCATCATCATCATCATCATCATCATCATCATCATTTCCTCCTTCTCATTATCAGCATTATCACCTATAAGCAACACACGTTCAACCGCCTCCCTCTCCTTTTCCCCCTCTCCGTGGCCCACATCCTCCTCATACTTCAACGCCTCCGCCTCATCATCAGCAGCAGCCGCAATCATCATCAGCATGATCAGCATCATCATCACCACCAGCATCAACAGCATCATCAGCATCATCAGTAGCATCAGCAATCAACATCAGCATCATCATGATCAGCAGCATCATCATCATCAGCAGCAGCATCATCATCCTTATCCTCATCATCATCGTCAGCCACATTGTCACCATCAACAGCGCCATCAGCATCATCATCATCGTCAGCATCATCATCATCAGCATCAGCAGCAGCATCAGCCTAATTAGGATAAGCGTCACCATCATCATCCTCATCAGCATCCTATTTATCCTCGTCAGCAGTATGAGCATCATCAGCATCATCAGCAGCAGCATCATCAGCATCATCATCAGCATCAGCATCGTCATCATCGTCGCCATCAGACTCATAATCCTCAGAATCAGTAGCATCAGCAGCAACAGCAGCAGCAGCATCATCATCAGCATCGTCATCGTCGCCATCATCAGGCTCATAATCCTCAGCATCATCAGCATCAGCATCTTCAACAATTATCAATACCTCGACAAACAGCATCCTCATCAGTATCATCACCACCACCAAGGCAATCATCATCATTGGCACCACCACCGTGGCCACCATAATCGGCATCATCAGCATCCTCCGCATCACCATCATAATCGCAAGCATCATCATCAGCAACCGCAGCACCATCATCGTCAGCGCCATGACCAGCAGTGTCCTCATCGACGTCGTCATCGTCGTTGCAATCATCCGCACAATCTTCATCATCAGCGCTACCCTCGTCCTCGTCATCAGCAGTATCAGAATTACCATCAGCATCAGCATCATCATCATCATCATCATCATCATCATCAGCATCGTCGTCGTCATCATCATCAGCAGCAGCATCATCATTATCATCGTCATCGACATCGGCATCGTCATCATCATCATCATCATCATCAGCATCATCATCATCATCATCATCATCATCATCATCCGCAGCTGCAGCATCATCATAATCATCCTCATCAGCATCATCATTGGCATCAGCATAGTCGTCCCCAGCAGCATAAACATCGCCATCGTCACTGTCGCCATGCCCATGACCATCAACCTCATAAGCATCACCATCATCGTCAACAGCAGCATTATCATCAAAATCATCACCATCACCATCAGCATCATCATTAGCATCATCATGAACATCATCATCGTCGTCGTCATCAGCATCATCATCACCATCATCAGCAGCATCAGCATCGCCACTGTCATCATCGTCGTCATCGTCATCGTTATCACCATCATAACCCCACATCATCATTATCCAGAATGTCCGCCTCGCCCGCTTCCACGGGCCCGTCTTTCTACTCAATATCCTGCCCATACCGTCTAAAAATGTCACATGCGTCCGTCTCTCTCTCTTTTTTTCTCTCTCTCTCTCTCTCTCTCTCTCTCTCTTGTTCCCCTTCTCTTTTTCCCTCTCTCCCTCTCTCTCTCTCTCTCTCTCTCTCTCTCTATCTCTCTGTCTATCTCTCCCTCCCTCTCTCTCTCTCTCGATCTCTCTCTCTCTCTCTCTCATCCACATCGTCGATCCTCCTCACGGCCATCACACTCACGCTTCGTCCTCCACATCATCATTAGGATCGTCATAATCATCAGCAGCAGCATGATCATCATCATCATCATCATCATCATCATCATCATCATCATCATCATCATCATCATATCCGGGTTCAGTTTCATCTGCATCGTCATCCTCATCATCATCAGCATCATGATCATAATCATCAGCACCAGCATCAGCATCATGGTCATCATCATCCTCATCACCATCCTCATCATCCTCACCATCATCATCAGCATCAGCATCAGCATCATCATCGTCCTCACCATCATCATCGTCATCATCAAAAGCGTCATCAGAATGATCGTCATCATCGTCATCATCATCATCATCATCATCATCAGTGGCAGTATCAGCATCATCATCGTGAACATCCTCTTCCTCATCTTCATCGTCGTCGTCCTCCCCATCACATTCCGCCTTCCCTTCCGCATGCACTTGCTCTCGATCACTGCGCCTCCCCCATCTCGTTTACGTTTGTGTACACCCGCATGAAGAAAAGCTGTGCCACGAAGAACTCGGCGGTCTGGGAGGGAGCGAGATGATGAGCGCAAGGAAGCTGTGGTCTCGGCCGGAGCCACTTCGAGCGCCAGCTGAAACGGACGAATGCGTCCTCGGCAAAACCGTGGGTGAGCAGATCCGCGGTGGCTGACAGGAGGAGTGGTGTCCTGCGGGAGCCCTGGGAAGCCCGCGACCCCGCCTGCCGCACGGCTGGGACTGCGAGTCGATCTCGTGGGCACCAGCAGGCAGGAAACCACAGACTCGGCACGACGCGCGCCAAACGCATTTCCCGCGATATCCGCAGCGCTTGCTGCGGCGCGTTGACACTGAGAAGCCATACATCGCACCGCGCAGGCAATACGGCACTCACATGGGCGCTGAGTGAATGCGCAAGAAATGAACGCTGGCGGGGCCGCGAATTCCTCGCGCCAAAATCACTCGAAGTCGGAGCCTTTCGCTGCGAACTCGAGCCAAAAATGGCCAAGGATTCCGCCTCCTTCTCCTCGTCCCACTCCTCCTCATTCGTTTCCTCCTCCTCCTGCTCCTCATCATCATCCGCCAACCTCCCTCCACCCGGTCCGACAGCGCGCGCCCAATCACCCCAGCGGATCCAGGGGCGGTCGATTACCCATCCAGAGTAGACTACGACAGTAGCCTCAGTGAGCTGGACTGCTGGCCACTCGACTCTGCTGCTGCCCACCTGCGGGAGCCCTGGGAGGCCCGCGATCCCACCTGCCGCGCGCCAGGGACTGCGAGTCGATCTCGGGGGCACCTGCAGGCAAGAAACCACAGACTCGGCACGACGTGCGCCAACCGTAGTTCCCGCGATACCCGCAGCGCTTGCTGCGGCACGTCGACACGGAGAAACCACCCATCGTGCCGTGCAGACAGTACAGTACTCACACGGGCGCAGAGCGAATGCACAAAAAGAGATGGAAGCTGTCGGGGCCGCGAACTCCCCACGCCAGAATCACTCGAAGTCGGAGCCTTTCGCTGCGGACTTGAGCCAAAATGGCCAGGGACTCCGCCTCCTTTCTCTCATCCCGCTCCTCCTCCTCCTTCATTTCCTCCTCCTCCTCCTCCTCAGCAGCATCACCACCACCACCATCACCACCACCACCATCATCATCCCCCCCATCCCCATCCCTATCCTCATCCCCGTCCCCGTATCCATCCTCATCCTCAACCTCAATTTAGCTTACCTTGTACATAACTTCTCCCTCTCGCACCCCGAGGCCAGTTTTCAGTCGGGTCGGGCGCTTCGCATGAAACGTCCTGGCCATGTGCGGCTCTGAAGCTCAAAATGGGCAACCGCTTCCCAGGTGGAGGAGGGCGGGTCGTTTTCAAAACTTGGCCCTCGCCTTAGCGCCGCGCACACTCGTCTTGAGCATTTGCAATAATTTCACAGATTGAAAGCGACCCGTTGTCAAAATGTGGCTCTCGCCTTAGCGCCGCGCACGTTCGTTTTGAACATGTGCAAGGGCTTCACAAATGGAGGGCGGGTCGTTTTCGAAATGCGGCTCACGAATTAGCGCCGCGCACATTCGCTTTCAACATTTGCCAGAGCTTCACGGGTTAAGGACGTCTCCTTTTCAAAGTGTGGCTCTCGCCGTAGCGCCGCGCACATTCGAAAATAAAATCTGCACGAGTTCCACGGATTCCCATGATCAGCGTACCAGAAATGGCGTTTTGGAAAGATTCGGACAATGCGGGCGCAGCAATTGCGTTGATTCACAGCGTTGAAGCCCCCGGAATAGCGTTCTGGCGCGATTCAAGATCGTCAAGACGCAACAGTCAGGTTGATCCGTGGCGTCGGAATCACGAGAACAGTGTTTTGGCATGCTTCAGGGTCTTCGAACGGTTGTCAACAAGGCAGTTCCCACAGTGGGAGTGAACCGTTGTAGGGGCCTATGAAGAGGGAGCTTAAAGGAAGGGTTTACTCCAACATGGTTGATGACTCTTGGGTTATACTGGTCCTCATCCTCATCCTCATCCTCATCCTCATCCTCCTCCCCCATCATCATCATCATCATCATCATCATCATCATCATCATCATCATCATCATCATCATCATCATCACCATCATCATCGTCATCATCATCAGCATCATCATCATCAGCAGCAGAAGCATCAGCAACATCAGCAACAACATCATCAGCATCATCAGCAGCATCAGCAGCATCAGCATCGGCATCATCAGCATTATCAGCGTCCTCATCATCATCATCATCATCATCAGCATCAGCATCACCACCATCATCATCAGCATCATCGATATCATCATCATCATCAGCAGCAGCAGCATCATCAGCATCATAACCATCATCAGCATAATCGCCATCACCAAACCACCATCATCGTCACCACCACCATCATCAGCATCATCAGCATCATCAGCATCATCATCATCTTGATCATCAACATCAGCATCATCATCCACATCCTCCTCATCATCATCATCAGCATCATTGTATTCATCCTGGCCCTCATCCCCATCCTCCTCCTCACCACCGTGATCATAATCGTCATCCTCATCGTCATCACCATACTCAGCATCATCATCGTCGTCGTCATCAGCATCAACAGCAGCATCATCAGCATCATCAAAATCAGCATCATCAGCAGCAGCATCATCATCATCGTCATCGTCATCGTCATCGTCATCGTCATCATCGTCATCGTCATCGTCATCGTCATCATCGACTTTCCAGTCCACCTCTTTCTGCCCCCCCACCCACACACCCACCCACCCACCACCACCACCCCCGCTGCAGGGGCGCCACCCGCAGCACTCATCCCAGGACTTCCAGGGCTCGTACGCCTCCGGGCGGGATGGGCACGAGGGGATACCCGGCACGGGCCGCAGGGAGATCAAGGACAGGGACTCGGACGGAGAGATGATGGGGAAGTCAGGGAAGCAAGATGATAACATGAGCAGGAGAGGGAGGGGATTGCTCTGGATCTCATTCTGCAATGGGGGGATCTGGTTACTTCGGTGGGGGGGTCTGCAGGGCCCCGTCAAAGACTGTTTGAAGGTCTCGATGCTGGACCCGTTGCTGCACCGCTCTTGGAGGGGGGGGGGCCCAGACGTGCTGTCAAACACGTGTCTGACCCGCCCCCCGCTGGTATGAGATTTGGAACACAGTGGAGGCCAGTCCACAAGAAACCTTCCACAAGAAACCCAACCCTAAAACCCCAGGCCGTCCATCGATCTTTGGCGTGGGAACGTCGCGCGTTCCATGGCAGAATCACCGAAACCCAAGAAACCCAGGGCACCCCGGAGGCAAGCAGGGTGTTTCTTGGCATGGGTCTCCACTGTACCCGAGACGCCTCCAACCCTTCTCCGTGCGAGGCGAAGCGTGCATGAGAACGCCATGCCGGAGAGCACAGCGCGGGATGTGCGTGGCTCCCAGGCACTGCACTGCACTGCACCGCCCTGGACTGCACTGCGAAAGTGGCGACAGTCGCGCAGTTCGCAGCCAACGAGGGAGCAGCGAGGTCTCGAAGCGATCTGCGCTGCCCTCACCTCCACCGCGCCACCAGGGAGCCCACGAACGTGGCGACATTAGCGCAATTCGCAGCTCACGAGGGAGCCGCGAGGTCTCGAAGTGATCTGCGCTGTCCTCACCTCAGCCGTGCCTCCCAGGAGCCCGCGAAGGTGGATACAATGACACAGTACGCAGCTCGCGAGGGAGCCGCGAGGTCGCGACGTGATCTGCGCCGCGCTCGCCTCTGCCGTGCCTCCCAGGAGACCACGAAAGTGGCGACGGCTGCGCAGTTCGCAGCCCCCGAGGGGAGCGTGAGATCTCGAAATGATGTTCGCTGCCCTCACCTCCGCCGTGCCTCCAGGGAGCCCACGAACGAGGCGACAACTGCGCACGTCGCAGCCCCCGAGGGAGCCGCGAGGTCTCGAAGTGACCTGCGCTGCCCTCGTCTCCGCCGTGGCTCCGAGGAGCCCGCGGGAGGAGCGACGGCCGCGCGGTTCGCGGCCCCCCCGTAGAAGAGGTACGACCCAGGGAGACAGGGGAGGCAGGAGAAGGGCGGGGCATGCAGGGGAGCAAAGGGAGGAGGAGGAGGAGGAGGAGGAGGAGCAGGAGGAGGAGGCGGAGGCGGAGGAGGAGGAGGAGGAGGAGGAGGAGGAGACTGCGGGAAGGAGGAGTGGACACCACCGTGCTAAATACGAGACGAGAACACAACACATGAAGACAGGGAAAAATACCCTCACGTCGCCACCGTGCGGGCAAGCTGCCCCGTGCAGAGGAGACGAATGTGCATACGAAAACGCATGATATCCGCCAACGCGCTTGAGAAAAGTGGAGAATGTAACGGTCTGTAAGATGTCTGGTAGGGTGCCTGCACCCTTCCAGGGGCGGCCCCCCCTACAACCACCAACTTGTGAAAGCCGTCCCGCCCGAGTTTTGCTCACCGGCGCCTCTGTCGGCCTCCAAGCGGCTCCAGGACGGCTCTAAGGCGGCCCAGCATTACTCAAAAACGGCGTTGACATGCCCGAAGACCAGCTCGAGGCGGCCCAATAATTTCCCAAAGGCTCACGACGTTATCAAGATGGACCAGAGTCTGCACCCTGCCCCCGTTCCAGCTATCAATACTACTCCCTCATCTCTCATCCTTCCACCTCCCTCTTCCCTCCATTCCTTTTCCTGGTACATAACTTCTCCCTGTCATCACGAGGCCAGTACTTAGGGCGGGCCGGGCGTTACGCCTGAGACTTCCTCATCATTTATGGCTCCGAAGCTTAAAAGGTGGCAACTGTTTTACAAATGGAAAGTGGGTGGTCTTCAACATGTGGCTCACGGATTGAGGGCAGGTCATTTTTCAAAATGTGGTTCTCGCCTTAGCGCCGCGCACAGTCGTTTTAAAAATGTACAAGGAACTTCACGAATTGAGGGCGGGTCGTTTTCGAAATATGGCTCTCGCCTCAGCGCCGCGCACGTTCGTTAAAACAAATTGCAAGAGCTATCCGGATTGAGGGCGGGTCGCTTTCAGAACGTGGCTCTCGCCTTAGCGCCGCGCACATTCGTTTGAACATGTAAAGGAGTTTCACGAATTGAGAGCAGGTCGTTTTCAAAATGTGGCTCTCGCCTCAGCGCCGCGAACGTTCGTTTTGAAAATGTGCAAGAGCTTCACGGATTGAGAGCGGGTCGTTCTCAAAATGTGGTTTTCGCCCTAGCGCCGCGCACGTGCGTTTCAAACATTTGCAAGAGTTTCACGGATTGAGGGCGGCTCATTTTCAAAATGTGGCTCTCGCCTCAGAGCCGCGCACGTTTGTTCATAAAGTTTAGAAATAATGTCACGGATTCCCATGATCAACGTACTAGAAATGGCGTTCTGGTAAGATTCTGGATTACGCGGGCGCGACAATTACGTTGATTCGCTGCGTTGAAGTCCCAAAAATGGCGTTCCAGCACGCTTCCACATCGTCAAGACGCAGCAGTCGGGTTGATCCGTGGCGTTGAAATCCCGAGAACAATGTTTTGGCATGCTTCAGGGTCTTCAAGGGTGTCTTCTAACGAGGCGGTTCCCTCATTGGAAATGAACCGCTGTAGCGGCTTATGAAGAGGGAGCTTGGACGCAGGGTTGTTTCCAACATCGTCGATGACTCTTTGGTTTACACTGGTCCTCCTCCTCCACCTCATCCTCCTCCTCCTCCTCCTCCTCCTCCTCCTCCTCCTCCTCCTCCAGAGTATCATCAACGTCACCAACAGCACCATCTTCTTCATAATTCTCAGCATCAGCATCAGCATCAGCATCATAATAATCAGCAATATCGTCATCATCATCGTCATCATCATCATCACCACCATCACCAGCATCATCAGCATCATCGTCGTCGCCATCACCTTCAGCATCATCATCATCGTCAGCAGCAGCAGCATCAACATCAGCACAAGCATCATCATCATCATCATCATCATCATCATCATCATCATCCTTATCGTCCTCCTCCTCACCCGCATCATCATCATCATCACCACCATCATCAGCATCAGCAGCAGCATCGACATCATCATCAGCAGCACCAGCATCCTCATCATCATCTGCAGCATCATCGGCATCATGACCATAATCATCAAAAACAGCATCATCAACATCATCAGCATCGTCATTGTCATCAGCACGAGCATCAGCATCAGCATCAGCAGCATCAGCAGCATCAGCAGCATCATCAGCATCATCATCAACAACATCATCAGCAGCAGCAGCAGCACTAGCAGCATCACCACCATCATTAGCAGCAACAGCATTATAATCCTCGTCCTCCTCCTCCTCCTCCTCCTCCTCCTCCTCCTCCTCCTCCTCCTCCTCCTCCTCCTCCTCCTCCTCCCTGCGCCTGCTCCCCTTCCTCCTTCTATCCCCCGCGCCTTCTCCTCATCCCCACGCCACCTGCCCTCCCCATGCCTCATCCCTCCTCCTCATCCTCATCTTCATGATCCTCCTACAGCTGGCGGCTCCCAAACTCGCCCTGTACGCCTCCTCCTCCTCGTCCTCCTCCTCCTCCTCCTCCTCCTCCTCCTCCTCCTCCTCCTCCGTGCTCTCCCCCGACGTCGTGAAAGTGTGGCGCAACGTGGACCCCAGCGTTCTCGACCCCTTCAGCGGGCCGTTTCTTGACGGGGTCCTGCAGCCCAGCACGGGTCCCCAGCGAGCCCGAAGGTGTCAGAAAGCATTCGCTTCACGACGCGAGAAGGAAGGCTCCTCTTCCAGACTCCCATCTCTGCAAGCCAGCGCCTTTCCGGCAACGGTCCGCACCTTCTCGTCATCCGGCCATATATCGTCTCCCCAGGTTGGCGCGTCCTGTTCGCACCGCCGCGCGGCCCTCCTCCACCTCCCTCTGACCCTCCTGCCCTTCCTCCTGCCCCTCCTCCTTCCCCTCCTCCTCCTCCTCCTCCTTCTCCTCCTCCTCCTCCTCCTCCTCCTCCTCCACCTATTGCTCCTCATCGTCCTCCTCCACCTCCTCCTCCTCC